CCCCAAAACCCCAAAACCCCAAAACCCCTTGCAACTAATAATCGAAATTAGAGCATTATACTCTTATCATATTATAAAATCTTATATTCATGTCCCTTATAATAATAATCATCAATCCTCTTTGTTGAATTATGAGACTTCATTTGAGGCAACATCTCTAGCCTTATTTATCTTAGTAAACACATCTCCGTATTAAATCTTATCCTCCACAAATTTAAGTTCCTCCTTGATAATCAAATCCTCTGGTGAGATCTTCTGGGCCAGTTCAAGATCAGCTCTGGCCTCCAAATAATTACCCAAAAGCAAGAAAGTATTAGCTCGTTTCTGATATGCTCTTTCATTAAGCTAATCTATTTCGATGCATTGAGAGCAATAATGTATCACATAGTCATACATTTGAGTGATTTGACAACAACTTGCCATACTCAAGAGTAACTAGGTAACCATCTCTCTGATTTATGGATAGATTTCAGTGTCTAGTTCTGATAAAAAGTCTAAGGCTTCTTGGTAGTTTCTCATAGCTGAATCAAAATCCTATGTCTAATAGTACTGATCTCCCTTATCTCTAGCTACTGAAGCTTAATTCATGCACTAGTCAATATGAATCTGGTGACTTATAAACATTTGCTCGTTATAGTACTATTACTGATACTGGTGAAAGTCAGAACCTGGATGCATTGGTGATCCAAGTCTGTTTTACTGGCTTTAATTAGAGATCACTTCTATCTTTAGGGATTTATTTGGGGATATTGGTTTCTGATTCTATCCTGACAAAGCTCTTTCATTGAGAGGTAGGTTTTATGGCAGTGGAGGGGCAAGGTTACCAGACACTCCAGGCATTATCATACTCTCTCTATCATATCTATAATCATCGAACAAAGGTTAAATTTGGTCTTGTTCAATTGGCTTCTCATTCTTGTCATCTTCATAGTTCACAATATCACCAACTAGAGCTTATAAAGGTTTAAACCACATTTTCAGGAGAGATCCCAACTTCGTGAATCTATTTACATAATTAGGATAGTAGTACTCCTCTTTATCAACAATATGGCTAATAAATCTTTCTGTAAAGCAGTTACAATTGTAGCTAAATGGATCATAGTCCTTCCCAATCCAAAAATCTCCAAATTGTCTGATAATTTCATCAATTTCGTCTTCGTTGTAAAATGTAACACCTACTGGTAATTTTTCTTTAAGTGTAAGTCCTGCACTGTTACCAGCCTCAACACAAACGATTCCTGAGCAGTCATAGTCATGGCCTCCATAAGAAAATTCATGCTTGTAGATTTCAACAGAAGTGTGATAGAATCCAAATCCTAGGAATTCACTGAACTTGTTGAATGAGGACACATTATAAATGTTGAGGTAGACTATCTCATGTTATCGCTATTCCATCAGTTATTTCATGTTTATATCGAACTAGGACTCAAAATCAATCAGAATTGGAGGTGGCTTAGGAGGAGATATTAAAGGTGGCAAGGAATTTTTCTTTGACTTGTGGACTGCCTTCATATTTTAGAGTATGGTTTGATTGTTGGTCATTCCAGTATTGGAGAATTGATAAGCCTCTCTTAATGGAGATTTAGCTTGAAACTGATTACCTTATGAAAATGGACGGCTGTTATCAAACAATGGTTAATAGGGATTTAGTGAGTTTTAGTGATTGTCTAATTAGGATTATTTTGGTGGACTGCCAAAGGCATTATAAATACTAGAAGTTTGCTAGTGGATCAGTTACTAATATGGCTGAGAATTTTGATTAATGAAGTCACTCCCTTGTGACATCAAAATTCCCTTTCTATTATTGATTGGACTTCTATTGCCTGATTTGCTCTCTCTAGATGCACTGTTGTTCATAGCTCCTCTTTGAAATAAATTCTTGGGCAGCTCTCCTCTTTTTTGAAACCTCTTATTCACTGTCCCAGCACTTGCCACTGTTCTGTTATAAAAGCCGGAAGTTTAGGATTGAGCACCTTAGGGAAGATACCCATAGTTAGTCTGAGCTAATATTGGATTGTATTTAGGAACTTATCTTATGATCTGTGTTGCTGCTGATTCTCGACTTCTCATTTGACTACGCTTTTTCTCAAAACTTTTAATCATATGATTAGGCAGTCCATAAAGATGTATATTTTACTTAGCGTTGAAAAAATTCTCAGCAGTTCTAATCTTTGAAGGTACATCATTTCCAGGCTAGCTCTGAGCTCTAGTTATCAGGTTGAACTGCTAATTCATTGGATATCTGCCCATTGATTTAGTAGTAGCTCCCATGTACTGAAGATACTATGTATTCTGAGGTTAATATGGAGATGGCCCATCATTCTGCTGACTCTTGCCACCAGCACCATCATGGTGATAGAACAGGCCTTGAAGTCCATAGTTGTCTGCCTAGCTTTGATTCTCACTAAACACTTCATGTTGCTTCAAGTTGGTTTGCTTGAAGTTCATGATTAAGTCTGAGACCTTGCGATACCTGCCCCCATCATTGTTATTATGCTAGAATGGAGCAGTCCTTCCTCTCTTCTGATTGCCTCTGTCATTTAGGTGTTCTTGCTGCTATCTATACTCATTATTTGACTCATTAGAGTGCTGCTATTAGTTATTGTTTTTAATGCCTATTTCACTTTGAGTTTTTATGCCAATGATGCTTTAAATTTAGTTATCAGAACCATTCTAAACCTCAATGCCACTTTGGCCCAGAGGCATCTGCACATTATAATTTACATAGGTGTCGTTATTGATATTAATTGTCACATTCTAATGAGGATAGTTGTTCAGAAGCGCTGTGTGCTATTACGCATTCGGCTATCTCAGACTGAACTAAGCTGATTCCAAACCACTTGGGAAGTTCTTAATGTTGGCTGTGTACATGTGAAAGTTAGGAATTATTTCATTCGTTAGTTGCTGGTTATGCTAGTCATTTATTGCTTTACGAGTATTTGAGTCTTGTTGTCTCATATACTTTGAGTAAGAAAAAGGGGACTCATTCACAAGTTTATTGTAATGATCTATAGTTTCCTGGTCTTAATCATATGCTTGAGATTCAATGCGTCCTCGATTCACTATAATTTTGTCCTAACCTATTGTATTGGGATCCATATCCTCCTCCTTATGTTTAAGATACTCGTCTTTCACTGAGGCATGAAAAGTATTATTGCTAGAGGAGTGATGAGCACTTTCTTCAATCCTTGATTCCATGTGCTGTGTTCCAATCCTCTATTCTTAATCCTGCTAAACGATAGATCGCCTTTAATAAGCCTCAAAGTCACCACCAATATTCCTAAGATCCTTATATTCTGTTTACTTAGCAATAGAGTCAGCATTGTGCACTACACTTGGAGTCAAAATGTCATCCCATTCATCGCCTTAGGCATTTAGTATATCTTCTTCTAAAGATAATCTCATTTTGGATGTAGGACTTGCATTTTACATTCTTAATAAAATTTCTTGTTATTAATTTAAAATCCCCTGGTATTTTGATTTTGCAATTTTAAATGATATTAATATTTCTAATGAAGGGGTTTTGGGGTTTTGGGG